CCCCCCCCCCCCAGCGTTTCCTGGTTTTTAAGTACCCTAGCAGGGTTAATGTAGTAAGCCTGGGCGTTAAACGGCGTATGTAAAGAGTCAATATTTGTCTGAGGCGGGGTGCAACTCTTGCTCATGTTTTCTCAGAGGGCGGGGACAACTTATTTATTGATTGAAAATAATAAAATTAACAACTTCCATAAAGCATGGCGTTTACTTTTAAACATTACTTAGGAAGTAAGTTAGCGTATTTATTTAATTTACAACGGTTTCCTTCCTTGCTTCATAAGTGCATAATGTGTAACAAGATTGGAAGAGAAAAAACTACTTTGATATTCTCTTTTAAAAAGACTCATTTAATACATTTCATACTTCGTTGAAAAAAAGTGAATAATTTTTAAATCTTACAATTTATAAAATGATTAAAAGAACATAAATTATAAGATATATAAATAAGTAAGAAGAAATGAATAAATAAAAATTTTAGACATTAAAGCGATAAAATAATGCCTCAGATGATAAATAGGATTCCCAACTTATATATTATGTATACTAAATAAACATACATGAATTTAAATTGATCCCCCTCTATTCGCATCATAGCTCAGAAACTTTATCGCACATATTTGTCAAGCTTTCCTTATCTCCTGTACACTTGATAACAAGAACATAGATAAACATGGCCGCCACCACGCGGCACATTGCGCATAGCACGGAGCAGAATGCCGCCAAATATTTCCCGCATTTTCCCGCCAGAACCATATAATGCCAATCTCAATGGCGAATGTAAATATTTTCCTGGACCTTTGCTTACTTTATATCCTAATAGATCTAATTAAAACAGACAACACATAATATTCTTCATTCATGCATTATATTCAGTAGAAGCTCACTTTCCTTTTGTTATTAAATCTCTCCTTTATTATTAAAATATAAACATGAAACTTGAGTTTATCATGAAAGCTGCCGAAATTATATCATTTAAAATTAGATTCATTTATTATTTATAGAAATAAATTCGCATAGAGGAAAAACAAGTTAAGTTGAAACTGTTTTATTTATCTTTTGAATAATTAGTGCAATCCAATTCTTAGTTAATCTTCAATGATACAGTGTATGCAGAGTATACCGCGGGATAAAGGGGATACAGGGGATACAGGGAAAACAGGTGATAATGGAGATACAGGGGATACAGGATATACAGGGGTTACAGAAGGATACAGGGGATACAGGGGGTAAAGGGGGATACAGGGATGCAGAATTTATAATGGATTTAATACTGGGATTCCATACTGGGATTCAAAGAAATGCCTAGTGAACTGAAATGCACAAGATTATTTCTTCAATGAATGAATGATTGATAATTTCATCTTTTATAAATGTTAATATATTTTTTTTTTATCAAATATTGCATATTTTCAGCAGGGATGGCCGGTCATTCGCTCCCTGCCTTCCTCTCAGGTTTGACATTTTAAGCTTTTTGTCCACTCCTAACAAAGTTACAAATCATTTTTTTTTCTCATCTTCACATATTTTAGTTTTAGCGCACTTTTGTAAAAATGAAATGCAACTTTAAATTGTATTAAGTCCAAAATATTATTTCACGTGATCAAATTGATTTATTTCTTTTCTCACAAAAAACATGATTTTTCGTTATGCATATTTTGTTACATTTAAAGCACTTTTCAGGTGTTTTTGTAATCTCAGGGATAGTTGGGGTTGTGGATAAAACAATCGATTTGTTTAAAAACGATGAAGAAAAAACGAAATACGAATAGTGATAGTTTTTTTTAAAACGATAGTTCTTTAAAAACCAGGCGACCGACGGGTTTCCCGGCGCTCTCGTACATAAAACGAAAAAAACTATCTTTTCCAAAAACGATCTTTTTTCGTGTTTTAAAAACGATATTTTTCGATTTTTTAACGGCCTTTTTTAAAAACGATTGTTTTGGAAACCGACCCTTCGTTAACAACCGCTAACGACGACCCTTCGTTGATGATTGTTAACGACCTTTAAAATACGAGGGCTGAAAATGTTCAAGAAAAAAAACCATTTAAGACAACATTGATAACTTTATTTTCCTGAAAAAAATGAAATTAATTGTCATAAAAATCAGATTCATTGGCTAAAACTTTGTCAAAAACGAAAGTTTTTTAAAAATCTATCGTTTTTCATCTTAAAAAGTGAACAATTGTTTTAAAAACGATCGTTTTTCGTTCATTGAAAATTCAAAACGAGTGGTTCGTTTTAAAAAAAGATAGTTTTTTTTCTTAAAAGGTAACAATCGTTTTTAGAATAAAATAAAATAAAAACGAAACGAAAAACGATTAACAACCCTACATGCAAGTCCGTATTTATTGGCTTCAAATAAAATCGAAGAAAGTTATCTATAAATGCAAAATTTGCTTTGTTGAGTGACCTTGGATTTTCACATATTATCATATCACACAATGCCCTCCCCCCGCCTTCCCCCCCCCCTCATCCACTTGAGACGGAATTCTTAAACAAATATACCGTCAATATTACTCAGATAAAAAGTATTCAGGTTTAGTTCCTGGTGGCCCGAAAGTGCAGTATTGTAGAGTGTTTTTTAATTCAATTTATACCATGAGACGTTTTTGAAGATTATATTTAATAAATAAGAGCCTAAAATCGTTTACGAAACTTCATCAGAAGGAATGGTCCACAGAAAAAGGATTTTTTTTTAATTATTAAATATCCTGGAGGATAAATGTAACAAACATTTTACTGTTTAATCAAATAATTGTAAAACATATTTCTTCTGCGTTCCATCCCTTCTGGTGAAATTTTAGAAACAAATATATGCTCTTGCTTAGAAATCATACACCACAAAAACATCCCATTGTTATAAAATGAATCCTAAATTTATATTTATAATACTGCACTCTCGGTGAAAATATGTTATCTAGCCGGTCTCTCCCTTTAATGTGATTTATAATGATCGAAATCAAAATTATAATCTAAGTACACCTTAAACATTTTTAAAATAAAGAAGTTTTAAATAAAAACGAGACGGCCTGATACATAATGGAATAATCTGGGCTAAAATAGGAGTAAATAAGGATAAATAAGGATAAATAAGGATAAATAAGGATAAATAAGGATAAATAAGGATAAATAAGGATAAATAAGGATAAATAAGGATAACTAAGGATACGAGTGAAAAAGAATAAAAAGGTTGAAGTAATGGAATTATTTATGCAAATAAGGATGAAAAAAGAAGAAGATATCAATGAATATAAAGGTATAAGAGTGAATAAATATATAAGGATGAATAAAAGAGAATGAAAGTGAATAAGCATAAAAGGATGAATAAAAGAGAATGAAAGTGAATAAGTATATAAGGATGAATAAAAGAGAATGAAAGTGATAAAGTATATAAGGATGAATAAAAGAGAATGAAAGTGAATAAGAATATAAGGATGAATAAAAGAGAATGAAAGTGAATAAGTATATAAGGATTAATAAAAGAGAATGAAAGTGAATAAGTATATAAGGATGAATATAAAAGTATAAGAGTGAATAAGTATATAAGGATGAATAAAAGAGAATGAAAGTGAATAAGTATAAAAGGATGAATAAAAGAGAATGAAAGTGAATNAGGCTTATTAAGTTCAAAGTCTGTTGAAATATTGAAAAAACGTGATTTAATTTTATCGAAGAAACAGAACATCACTCAAAGAGAATAGAAAGTATAATTTGACCCCTACAAAACAATCGATAAAACACGAATAGTATAAAAAGATTGTCATATGTTTGAGGTGAGATAAACATCTAGCTTTTGTACAAAGATATAATCTCGTTTTTATTAAAAAAAAAACAAAAAAATATTCAAGTAGACATTTTTTTTATTAAGTATGCAAAAATGAGCTTAAATTTTTAAAACATTTTTCAACTTATTAAATATTGTATTTACACTTTTAAGTTTACGAGTTTACCCTGAATTCTTGTGCATATGTTTGTAGTATTTCAATTTGTATTAACATTTGTTCTATCATGCTAATTTTGCTTATATTGTCATGTAAACATACTCCCCCACCTTCCCCCTCTCTCCCTCCTCCCTCTCATTTATATCCCTCCCCCCACTATAAGATTTAGTTGTATTACAACTTACAGTTTAACAATGGTTTCGATTAAACCTTTCCGGTGGTAATCTTCTTAATCGGGTGGGGGGGGGGAGTATATTAGTGATGCTCATTCTCTCCCCCCCCTAATACCCGACAAATATATATGTATATATACATTATTAGATATTGTATATTAAATAAAGATCATTTATGTTTATATTACTCCATATCCCGTTTTAGAAAATTTCTTTCCCCTTCTATTTTTCATCCCCCCTTCTACTTTATATCCCTCCTTTTTTTATTTCCAATCTTCTACATTATATCCACACCCTTCTACTCTATATCAACCCTTCTACTTTTAATCCACACCCTTCTACTTTATATCAACCCTTGTACTTTATATCAACCCTTCTACTCTATATCAACCCTTCTACTTTATATCAACACTTCTACTCTATATCAACCATTCTACTTTATATCAACCATTCTACTCTATATCAACCCTTCTACTTTATATCAACCCTTCTATTCTATATATACCATTCTACTTTTTATAACCCTTCTGCTTTATATCAACCCCATTTACATTATATCCCCCTTCTATTTTATATCCCCCTTCTATTTTATATCCCCCTTCTACTTTATATCCCTCCTTTTACTTTATATCAACCCTTCTATACTTTATATCCTCTTCTACTGTACCCCCCTTTCTACTTTATATCCCTCCTTCTACTTTATGTCCCCTTTTTATACTTTATATCCCTCTTCTACTTTGTATCACCCCTTATACTTTACATCCCCCGTTCTTCTTTATATCCTTGTCTACTCTGTAACCCCCCTTTCTACTTTATACCACCCCCCGTCTCCGAACATATATTCCTTTAATCCTTCTGGATTCTTGAAAAGCATGTTTCCTATTATACATTCTATCCCTCTCATCAAAACCAACAATTCCTCTTATATCAAAAATATGTTAGATCTCTTTTTACTTGAATAATGTTAAAAAATTAAATTTTGGAGTTAAATGTATTTTGAGAATATGTTTCAATAAAATCCAAATATAACTAAAAATTTTAACCTTAGGACTTTTTTGGACCTTACATTGGGCCTTTGAGGGAGGGAAGAAGGGGGGAATGCATGTATGCGTTTTTTAACTCTTGTCCGTTTTTAGCTCTGTTCTAATTTTTTTCTCCAAAATGCAAGGGTCGGTTTAGAATTGTCTTTTAGAAATCGTCTGTTGATATGATGTGTGTAAACGTTGTGAGTGAATGAATAAAGTTTGTCTGTGGGAATATGTGTGTGTCTGTTCAGATAATCCTAAGTATGACGAATGGGATTTTTTACCATCCCTGAGCTTCCTAGATATGACTGAACCAGGCGTAACGAAATATTCAATAAATATTGCGGGGGGTTGACTTGGAGAACTCGTTATTGAAATTAGACGCACATTTTTACACTCACTTTTTGTTGACGGGATCATCTGATTTATAGAATTATATTTTAACTTTTAGTAAAATTAACTTTTAAGAAATGTAATATCCAAATTACAATTTACCATTGAAAATCATCATTAACACAAATTTTTATTTTAAATATTTTAGGTTAACTCTCCTTCTGTGACGTCACACTTATGACCACTTGCCTCCGGCCCCATGTATTAAGCGTGTTTATCAGCTGATTCAAGATGGCGAACGAGCTAACTGAATAAAATGCGGGAAAACGCTAAATCAACAGGGCGCCATGTTTATCTGTAAATGAATGACAACGGTCGATATGACATTAATCAAACAAAGTGCAAATATTTTGGTTAAACAATGAACAATGAACAAAGAGGACCAATTTTAGAATCAAATGGGACCCAAGATAAACGATGGGCGAAACTAGAGTGAAATCAACTTTTTGTGAACGAAGAAAAATTAAATTAAAGTTGTAGAAAATTATTTCGAATCTTGTGCCATACAGTTCATTTCAACACCAATTAGAGCTTGTTTTTAATACTTTAGCAACACGAATGTAATCTATTATTTAATATGTAAAACTGTTAACATTTCAATGCCCATGTATTTTTATTAATCTTGTCTAAAAAAGGTTGTTTTTAAATCCCTTATAATTTTTGTGATAATGGACACAGCTAACGTTTCTAATTATAATTAGATAATTAAAAAATAGTATCGTTGATTGTTATATATTTTGCGTTTTTACAGGGTTGGCAGGTTTGATTTATATACACTATAACTAACATTTACTAATTTCATAAAAAAGGAGAGATATCGTGAACTGAAGAAACCTGCCCACACTCTCTTATTTAAAATCTTGGTGTGAAACTAATCAGTTCAATTCTATACTATTTGTCAAAATTTATTCCTTGTGTATATTCTATGTGTTTTGGGAAAAAAACATACACTTTCAAATCTCAAGATTTTTTTGAAAAAAAGGGGTCATGCAGAACCCCCCTCCCCTCCTCCTTTAAGCAATAAGGGGAGCTCCCTGATTAAAATGGTTGTAGTTACGTTAATGTTTAAAAACTAAAATTTATAGTTTTAAAAATTAAGTATTCGTCTTTTCAACCTTGATTTAAAGCCATTTTACTCTCGTCTTTGATAAAAATTCGGTGAAATATTAATCTATGTTTTATCATCAGTCCTTAATCCCAAAAACAGCTGTTCTTTCAAAAAATCTTTGTTGTAATCTGTAACCTGTAATCTGTCACTAAACCAATAATATAGAGAAATATAAATCAGTCAGGAAATAAATTTTAATTATTCAAATAATTTAAAGGGGGTGCAGGGGCGCCATGAGCCCCGCGATATGGTCTCCAAGCCTCTGCATTCGCAAATGAGTATTTAATGACCTGGCGCTACACCTGTCCTTTAGAACAGATATTATAGAAGTAATGTATAACAAATTTAAGAAAACTATTTGATATTTTAATAGATATGCAATGTTTTTTATATTCAAGAAAACACTTCATATCTATTTAAAGATTAAATATTCTATTTCAAAAATGTTATTTATAACTTCTATAATATCTATTCTAATGCTTAGGGGTAGCGCCAGGTCATTTTAAATACTCATCTGGGAATACGGAGACTTGGAGACTATTTTGCGGGGCTCATGGCGTCCCTGCACCCCCTCCCTCCCTCCTCAGGTCCATCTTTGACAGGGACAGAGGGGAAGGTTTAAATTACAGTATTCGCATGACAAAAGGATGTAAACAAATGATTGCGATTCGCTAGATTATTTTTTAGGTCTGAAACCTCAAACCACCCTTAAGATTGCCTATAGTTGAATTCCTAAAATGCCCAATATATACCAAGGTTCCAATGGCTTTGTTCATAAAAAATTAGACCCTTTGTTTTTACATAGCTGTGCTCCTTATGCATCTAATTTGGAGACCAGATCAAGTTTGAAGTGTCGCCAGGCCCTTAGGACATAACCTGACAATGACAAAGCTAAAACAAAGCCAAGTGCTCGTTTTTAACTATTTCATTCAAGAGTTTTTGTCACAATCCTCAATTTCGTGAACATCATTTCAATATCTGGATTTAGATCACTGACCATTTAAGCTTTAACAAGAAACAAGCGCGTTGCAAAATATAAATGTACATGTCCAGGACTTCAAGAAAGTTCAAGTCAGTTGCTGAGGTAAATCCAAAGGTCGAGGCGTTGCGACGCTTTAAATTCGAGACTGTTTAAGATTTGATACTATGTTTCAGAGAGATTAGTACGTTGCCAATTGCCATCCAATAAGAGCGCTTCAATGTTTATGTTCCCAACGATCCAGTACTGTTTTGTTAATGTTTTTTCCCCATCCAATGAGAACTCAAGATTTTCATGAAATTAAGAAGCATTTTGTTAAATTACCAAAGATTATAGGGATTAGAGTTTTTGGCTTTGACTTAATTCGTTTTCAAATAATGCGAAGCTAGAATATTCAGTTCATGATTTCGAAAAAAAAAATTCCGAAAATGCTTGTGATTTGGAAATGTTAAGTTAGAAAAAAAAATACAAATAAATGTTATGATTTTGATATCTTTGTAGTTTACTAGTGGAGGATTTTTATTTCTTCCCCTCCCCACACTCCTACTCGACGACGTTTAATTTTTGTATATGTAACAAATGGGATAGATGGACATGGGGTCGCAGCACCCGGCCCACTTGCCTGTCCTAGCCGCAGTGCTCTTCCCTAGTCTGTCCTAGTCCCAGTGCTCGCCTCACTCCTTGCCTGGCCTAGCCGCAGTGCTCTTCCCTAGTCTGTCCTAGTCCCAGTGCTCGCCATACCCCTTGTTTGTCCTAGCCGCAGTACTCTTCCATAGTCTGTCCTAGTCCCAGTGCTCGCCTCACTCCTTGCCTGGCCTAGCCGCAGTGCTCTTCCATAGTCTGTCCTAGTCCCAGTACTCGACCCACCCCTTGCCTGTCCTAGCAGCAGTGCTCTTCCCTAGTCTTTCCTAGTCCCAGGTCTCGCCCCACCTCTTGCCTGTTCTATCCACAGTGCTCTTTCCTAGTCTGTCCTAGTCCCAGTGCTCGCTAGAAATTATCTAAACCTGACCTTTATCCTGAAATAATAAAATAAAAATTTGACTTGATGTCAAAACTAGTTAAAATCGCGTGTACAAAAAAATTATACTAGGACTGAACAAAGTGTTTTTTTTGTGATAGCAAAAAGTTATACCAACGAATAATTACGAAGGCTCTATTTTCTATTCTAAAAGTTTCTATATTCGTAGTATTTAAATATAATACAATACGTAATCTTTTGTTCCTTTACATGACTGGTTTACAGATCAGGTTCTCTGTTCAGTTATCTAGGTCTACAGATCAGGTTCTCTGTTCAGTTATTTAGGTTTACAGATCAGGTTCTCTGTTCAGTTATTTTGGTTTACAGATCAGGTTCTCTGTTCAGTTATTCAGGTTTACAGATCAGATTCTCTGTTCAATTATCTAGGTTTACAGATCAGGTTCTCTGTTCAGTTATTTAGGTTTACAGATCAGGTTCTCTGTTCAGTTATTTAGGTTTACAGATCAGGTTCTCTGTTCAGTTATCTAGGTTTACAGGTTAGGTTCTCTGTTCAGTTATTTAGGTTTACAGATCAGGTTCTCTGTTCAGTTATCTAGGTTTACAGATTAGGTTCTCTGTTTAATTATCTAGGTTTACAGATCAGGTTCTCTGTTCAGTTATTTAGGTTTACAGATCAGGTTCTCTGTTCAGTTATCTAGGTTCAAAATAACGAACATTCTGTTCAAAATAATGAGCATTTGTACAAATTACGAACATTTTATAAGAAAAAACGAACATTTGTACAAAATTTAGATTATTTTGATCAGATTTACGAATATTTTGTACAAAATTACGATTATTTTGTACAAAATTACGATTATTTTGTACAAAATTACGAACATTTTGTACGAAATTACGAATATTTCTACAAAATTAAAATCATTTTGTACAAAAATACAATTATATCGTACGAATTTACAAATATTTTGTACACAATAACGAACATGTTTAACAAAATTATGATTATTTTGTACGAAATTACGAATATTTTGTACGAAATAACGAACATTTTTTACAAAATTACGAACATTTTGTACAAAATTTCGAATATTTTGTACAAAATTATGATTACTTTCAACGAAATAACGAATATATTGTACAAAATAAAGAACAATTTGTACGAAATTTCAAACATTTTGTTATGATTATTTTGTATGAAATTACGAATATTTTGTACGAAATTACGAACATCTTGTACAAAATTACGAACATCTTGCACGAAATAACGAATATTTCTACAAAATTAAAAACATTTTGGATATTTTACAAATTAACATTAACATTCTTTTCAAACAAACACACAATTTATTGTCTACGTCGAAATTCTTTCTGTATTATGAACTTACAAGTTTTTCCCCCAAATTTGTCAACTATATTATTTTCTGCCCCCAGTTCATAGGTTTTATGATTCTTGAACTCTGTTCAAGGATTACAAAACTAAACAGTTACAATTTATTATTTTATTTAAAGGAAAAAAATATAATACATAGCGTTCTCAAAATTGCGTCCTCAAAAGTGCGTTCGCAATGTCAAAAGTGCTTTATCGGAGTAATTCTAAGATTTAATTCTGAAAGAATTTAAAAAATTAACACCACTATAAATCTACAAGTTACTTTAAAAGAAAAAATAATATTTTTTTTTAATAAGAAAAATTATAATTTTTATTTTCTTATTCCTCAAAACAAAGGTTTAAAAGGTAGCGTTGTAATTTGTGTATCAACGTAATTATTTTATTTGAGGAGCTCTTGCAATCACGTGATTAGTCCCTTTGATTTAAACTTTAAAAACTTTAGAATTCTGAACAGATAACAGGCGAAACCTTGAAACGTTAAACATGTACAACTTAAAAAAATTCTTTATAACGTTTCGGGTTCTAACTTACAAATTAGTCTTTTATAAAAATAAATTAACTTTTTATGAATGTAAATAACATTTTCTTACCAAAAATGTCGTTTAAATTAAAATAAATGTGCTATAAAATTATTTGAAGGCCATTACTGATAATTTATTCATGAGCATAATTCTAAATTGTAAATTTGTAGAAATTCAGTATTTAAGTATATTATTAAAAATTCATTTTTGGGAGAAAACTTTGTGTTTACTTTTGATCAGGTATTCAAATTTATGCAATCAAATACAACTCACTTATATTTGCTCGATTAAAACTTTTTTGACCCACACGTAGGAGTTGGTTTTGTTTAAATTAATAAATACAGTGTTTTAGCAAATATTAAATCATGCAAAAAATTAAGAAAAAAAACTGACATTAACGATTTTATACAGAAAAAAAATATTTGTATTAATGCCCTACTCTAACATATACTTTTTTATAAGTACCAATCCAGGTATAACCTTCCGTATCCTTAGGTATCTGTCTTACAAGATTCAACTCAATTTAGTACTCCAGGTTCCTCAATAATACTTTAGTCAATATAAGACCTGATAAACTCTATCTGTATTCTCAGGTATCTGTTTACAAGATACAACTCAATCACGAACTCCAGGTCACTCAATAATACTTTAGTTAGTATCAAACTGGATACGACTCTATCTGTATTCTCAGGTATCTGTCTTACAAGAAAACTCAAATCCGTCCTGTTCGCTAAACCCAGATATATTACTCTAAAACTGTAATCAAACAGGGTATTATTCCAACTAATGTATATTTTGAGTTCTAAGATTCAGGTTAGATTAATGAACTTAATTACAAGTTTTACGTATTTATTTACAATCAAAGTTAGGTTTAAGGACCCATAGGTTTTACATAGTTGTTTACAAGCATAGGTAGGTTTACAGATAATGTACAACGTAATATATCTAGGTGTGTTCAGATTCATAAATATGGGGTTTGCTACGATATTTATTGCAAGTTAAAAAAATACCATAAAATACAAAAAAATTATATTTATTTATT